GTGTGTGTGTGTGTGTTTTAAACTGTAAGATGTAAATTATGTTCTAAAATATATAATTTATTGGAACTAAGCTGGAAAAATAAATATGAAGGTGAATTAAATCATAAAACATGAGGTAAAGTTCTCATTTTTTTTCATTTAATTGGTGCATTTTAAGTGTACTTATTTATTTATTGGCCCATTTAAATATTTCTGCTTGTATTTCTAATTATGTCAGTATCGGTCCTCCATAGTCACAACTCTGTCACAGTTAGAGATTAGTGCGACCACCAGGACTATAAACAAAGAAACCAGTTTGTTTCATCATTTCTTTATCGTTGCTTTAGTTTTGTTGTTTAGTTTGTTATATTGTGTGTTTGTGTATCATTAATTATTCTGAAATGTAAAGGTATATTCCATTTGTCTAATTATTTATCTGGGTTGAACTTATCAGATCAAAAGAAAGCAAATGTGTAAGTTTGATGTTAGCAAGTTTTATGTTACTGGTTGCAAGAATATTTTAACGTTTGGTTCTTATTTTTTGTTTTACTTCTTTAATAAATCAACACAAAGTCTAATTGTTTTCTCAAGTCCACAAAATAAATACTAAAGTTATTAAGCTTAGAGCATGATAATTGAAATAAGAATACATAAGAAATAACAAAATAAGCTTAATAAAAAGCCAAGTATTTCACACACAGTGTTCATCATGGCTCAGTCTGTGGCTTGTAATTGAATAAGGTGAAATATGCCTTTAATTAAATGGATCATTTTTAACAGTGTTGGTTGGAGATGGAATCCATAGATGAAAGATCGGTCCTGAATATTTTTTCTGTACAGGCTTCCTGCAGCTTAAGACAAGATAATTTAAGACTTTAATGCCACTTGAAATGAAATTAAAGACCAACTTCACAAGAAACGTGGGAATAAAAAATCCAGTTAGCATTTTACCCAAATGTTTGACATAAGAGACGCATTCGGCCCCTATGGGCCAGCGTGATGGGGTGATGGCCCAGTCTGGTCTAATGGTCTGACTTCAGAGTTCACAGACCAGCTTAGATCTGATGAGATGTGACGACCAAGGAACCTGTGGCTGTCCACGCTTTCCTCTCTGGACCCACTGAGAGTGTGTGTGTGTGTGTGTGTGTG